GCTAAGGGCATTCCTGTACTGTTTTCATTTGGACATATGTTTTCAATTCCCATCAGCATACACACAGGAGTAGAGGTGTTAATCATATGGTGACTCTATGTTTAAGCATTTGAGGCATCATAAGATTGTTTCCAGAGCAATTGTACCATTCTGCATTCCCACCAGCAGTGTAGGAAGGTTCCAATGTCTCCACATTCCTGCCAACACTTGTTCTTATTTTCTGTTTTCACTGTGACCAACTGCTGTCTCATGGTGGCTTTGACTTGCATTTCCCTGTGGTTAACTATGTTCAGCATGTGCTTAATGGCCATTTGTCTGTTGTCTTACAGAAGTATCTAAAACATTCACCATCTCAGTGATGTTCACATGTATAATTCAGTGGTATTCTGTGTGCTGTACAACCATTATCTCTCTCCTTTTCCAAATTATTCCACCAACATTAACATAAACTCAGTGCCTCACAGGAGAAACTGTCTTTCCCCCTATTTATTGCCCCTCTAATCACTAATAAATTTTGGTTTGTATGTATTCGCTATGTCATATAAACTTGATCATACAGTATTTGTCCTTTTGAGACTGCCTTATTTCCCTCAACATCATGACTTCAAGATTCATCCATGTTTTGGCATGCATCAGGACTTAATTTCTTTCTTTGTTGTTATAATATTTCACTAATATCCTCATTATTTCTGTTCTGTTTATTCCATTTCCATTAATCTGGATTCCCTGCCCCCTGTAGTCTAATCTTTATTTTCAAGTAACTATTGATCACAGGACTTCATTTATTTTTGTGATTGAGTAATAGTCAATTGTATGCATTATCTACCAAAACCAAATCCAAAACTCAATGCTAGTTGAGCCAATTCTGACTTACAGCAGACTACAATAGCCTCGTAGCTTTCAAGGCTGCAAGGCTGTAAATACTTACCAAAAATGACTGCCTCATCTTTCTCCTGCATTGTTGTTATTGTTGTTGTTATAGTTTGTTGTTAGGTGCTGTTGAGTCAAGTATGACACATAGCAACCCTATGAACAATAGATCTGAACCTTGTTCTATCCTGTGCCATCTACGTCATCTGACACACTTGAGTCCATTGCTGCTGTCACTGTGTTAATTCACCTGGTTGAGGGTCTTCCTCTCTTTCACCGTCCTTCCTCCTTCCCAATCATGATGTCCCTCTCCAAGGAATAGCCTCTTCTAGCAACGTGGCCAAAGAATGAGAGACGAAGCTTTGTCATCTTTGACTCCAAGGAGCACTCTGGCTACACCCTCTCCAAAACATATCTGTTTGTTTTTTTGGGGGATGGGATGTTCTTTTGGGATGGTTTGTTCAGTACTCTTCTCCAGCACCACAACTCAAAGGCATCAGTTCTTCTGCCATCTTTAGTATTGTCCTGCTCTCAGATGCATAGCAGGTGATTGAAAAGACCATGGCCTAGGAGAGCTCTGGTGGCCTAGTGGCAAGAAGCTGCACTGCAATCCCAGAGGTGTACGATTCAAATCCACCAGATGCTCTGCTGGAGAAGGAGGGACAATCTCCTTCTGTATCAGTTAGATCTGATTTGATGGTGCACACACACAAAAGACCAGGGCCTGCAGAAGGCCTACTTTAGTCCCTAAACTAACATCCTCGATTCTCAATTATTTAGAGCAGTCCCTGACTGCAGAGTTTCCCAGGGCAGTATGTCTCCTGATCTCCTGACTATTGTTACCATGTGCACTGATTGTAAATCCAAGTAAGATGAAATCAGTGACAGCTTCAGTATTTTCTCCATCATGATGTCTATCAATGCAATGTGAGAATTTTTGCTTGCTTGATGTTGAGATACACTCTTTATTGAAGGGTGTAGTCGATTTTCTGAGCAAGCACTTCAAGGCCTTCTCAGTTTCAGCAAGCAAGGTTTGTCATCTGAATAACTTAGATTGGTGGTGAATCCTCCTCCAATCCCGCTGTCACATCCTCTTTCGTGGAATCCAGCTTCTCAAATATTTTGCTCAGCATACAAGTTAAACAGATATAGAGAAAGGATACAACCCTGACCCACACCTTTCCTAATTTTAAACTGTTGAGGTTTCTCTTGCTCTGTTTGCACAACAGCCTCTTTGTCTAGGTATAGGTTTCACACAAGCACAATTAAATGTTCTGGGACTCCCATTCTTTTCAAGCCATAGTTTGTTATGGTCCACACAGTCAAATGCCATTTCATAGTCAATAAAACACAAATAGGCATTCTTCTGGTATTCTTTCCTTTCAGCTAGGATCCATCTGACATTAGAGTGATATCCCTGGTGCCATGGCCTTTTCTAAATCCAGCTTGAACATGGTACAATTCTAGTCATTTTTGAAAGATCTTTGACAGTATTTTCCTTGCCTGTGATATTAATGATTCTGTTTGATAATTGCCAGTTCTATTGGATCACCTTTCTTGAGAATGAAAACAAATATAGATCTCTTCCAGTCAGCTGGCCAGAAAGTTGTCCTCTAAATTTCCTGGTATAGACTGGAGTGCATCCAAGGCTGCATCTGCTGGTTTAGACATGTTAGTCTCATCAATTTCGGCAGCCTTATATTTTTGCCAATGCCTTCAGTGCAGCTTGAACTTTTTCCTTCATAACTATTAACTCTTGATCATTATGATACTTCCTGAAATATTTCAGTGCCAGCCTATTCTTTCTGCTACAGTAATTTTGTGTATTACTTCCATCTTCTTTTGATGCTTCCTGGATTATTAAAGATTTTTCCCATAGTATCTCCAAGTATTGCACCTTGAGGCTTGAATTTGCAGTTCTTTTCACTTGAGAAATCCTGAGTTAGTTGCTCCCTTTCAGTTCTCCAGTTCTAGGCCTCTGAATATTCTATTATACTTCGCTTTGTCTTCTAAGTGCTCTAGAGCAATTTTCAGGGCCTCTTCTGACATCTATTTTGGTTTTTTCTTTCCCATTTCTCTTGTGATCTTTTGCTCGCTTCACAGATGACACCCTTTGTAACATCCCACAATGCATCAATCATTGGTTTTCAATGCTTCAAACCTATTGTAAAGATAATTTTGAAGTTCTGGTGGAATAGACTCAAGATCAGTCTCAGTTTGAGTTTGCACGTGAGTAATTGATGGTCTGTTCCATAGTCAGCACTGGCCTTGTTTTAACTGCTAATAATGATCTCTCCTCCAATGATTCCTTCCACAGGTGAAGTCAATCTGATTCCTATGTAGTCCATCTGGCGATATCCCTGTGTAAAGCTGTCATTTGTGTTTTCCTCCTGCACAGCAGCTTGAAATCTAATAGAGACATTTCAGTTAACAGTCAAGGGCCTTAACCACTGCATCACTACAGTTCTCTCTCTCTCTTTCTCTGTGTGTGTGTGAGAGAGAGTGTGTATGTATGTATATATAAATGTATACAAAATACATATACATTGATGCATAATTATTATCTATTACATTGCATTATAATATATATTTTACACATTATATAATTGTAGTTGCTGTTATGTGTCATCGAGTTACTTGCGACTCGTAGCGACCCTATGTACAAGATAAACCCTGCTCTACCCTATGCCAACCTCGCTGTCTCTGACACACTTACTCCCACTACCTGAATCACTGAATCGATCCATCTCATCAAGTGTCTTCCTCTCTTGTGCTGTCCCTCCACCCTCGCAAACATGATGTCCCTCTCCAAGGACTGGTTCTTCCTTGCAACATATCCAAAGTATGTCAAACGAAGCTTCATAATCCTTGCCTCCAAGGAGCAGCCTGATTTCACCCTCTCCAGGACAAACCTGTTTGTTCTCAAAGCAGTCCATGGTATATTCAAAACTCTTTTCCAGCATCATAGCTCGAATGCATCAATTCTCTTTGATATTCCTAGTCACTTCCCAGCTCTCTGATGCACAGCACACAATTGTGAAGACTATGGTCCATATCAGGTGCACCTTAGTCTCCAGCCTGCTGTCGTCGCTCCTCAGTACTCTGGCGAGGTCCCTGATAGCTGCCATTCCCAATGCAATTCATCTCTTGATTTCCTAGCTGCTGGTACCAAGAGTGTTGATTGTGGAACCCAGCAAACTAAAACTGCTAACAATCTCAATCTCTTCATCATCCATATTGATGCTGCCAATTGGCCCAGTGGTGAGAATCTTTGTTTTCTTGATATTGAGCTTCAATCCATATTGAAGGCTGCAGTCCTTGACCTTTTGCAACAGAGCTTCAGGTCCTCCTCAGCTTTAGCAAGCAGGGTTGTGTCATCTGCATAATATAGGTTGTTGATGAATCTTCTACCAATCCTGATGCCACAGTCCTCCCTGTATAGTTCAGCATCCCGGATGATCTGTTCTGTACACAAATTGAAAAGGTATGGAGACAGAACACATCCCTGGCGGACACCCTTCCTGATTTTGAACAACACAGTACATAAATTATATACACACACATACACATATACATCCATACACATTTTATAACACATATACATTATCTAATACATACACATTGTATGATACATTTACTGAGAGGCAAGGATGGTGGATCTTCACCTCATTTACTTTGATCACGTCAGGAGGAGCCTTGGGGGAAAGATATCATGTTGGGAAAAGTGGAGAGTCAGAGAAAGACAGAAAGACGTTCAAGAAGATGGCTTGACAGTGACTGCTGACAGTGGGCTTGAGCGTCTCAGAGATCGTGAGGGTGGTGTGACATAGGGAAAGGTTCCTATTTTTGGTTCACAGGGTTGCTGAGTCAGAGTCAACTCGAGGGCACCTAACAACAACAATAATATATACATATTTTCATACACACATGCTACCCATTGTTTAGTTGTCTGTTGGTAGACATTTGGATTGTTTCTAGCTTTAACCTATTGTGCAAAGTACTGTCAGGAACCTTGGTGTGCAGGTTTCTGTTTGTGTCCTGCTTTCACTTCTTCTCGGGGTATGTCTATTTTTTAACTGGGTTCTTTGTCTTTTTGCTATTTTGTAGAGGCCACTTTTATCAGTAAGGCAATGGCAGCTCGCATAAATCATAATCGACAGAAGGCCAAGGGCCTGGGCCAGCACAACAATGCTGAGCATTACAAAAACCAGAACTTTGAGGAGCTGCAAGCAGCCTGTCTGAATAAGGGGATACTGTTCGAGGACCCCTTCTTTCCTGCTGACTCCACCTCATTGGGCTTCAGGGATCTGGGACCCTTGTCCAGTGGCGTGCAGGACATCTCCTGGCACCGGCCCCAGGTGGGCACTGGGAGGGAGGCACGGATTATAGTGCCAGGCCCCAGGCACCATGATAAACCCCAGCCTTGTGACATCCCATCCTGACTCTGTCACCAGGGTTCCAACTCCCCTCCTTCAGGGTTGGAAATAGTTCTTAAGACTTTTAAGCAAAAACTCCCAGATACCCCTTGGGAAAGTCACCAAAACTCCTCCCACCAGTCTTTGCAAGCTGGCCCTACATCCCCCAATCACCACTGTTCCTTCTAGAACTACAAGGTTGGCATTGCCAACAAGATCGGAAGGAGGATGGGGCTGGGGGTGTCCTGAAACCTTGATTTCTTCACTGCAGGACATCACAACGCATCCTCAATTCATTGTGGATGGAACCACTCAGACAGATATCTGCCAGGGAGACCTCGGTGAGTGGGTAGGGGTCACTTAGGGTGAGAGACAAAGAGTCTTTGGAGGCTGAAAAACTGGAACCCCCTAAGTTCAAACAATTTGCTTTCATTCCCCTTCTGAGGGTATCAGGCAAACTCTGTCTCCTTCCCCACCCCAAGTCTGGATGCCACTCTCAACCTGCTGCAGTCTAAGTCTGGGGGCCAAGTCAGGGCATGTTACTGCAGTATATCTGGTGGTCTGGTTCAGGGGCTTTCATGAGCTGGCATCCAACATGTCAACAGGGCTGCAGTCATCTGAAGGCTTGCCTAAGGCTGAGGAGCACACCCCAGGCTCCCGCACATGGCTGTCTACAGGAGGCTTCAGTTCCTTGTCACGGAAGCATCTCCATAGAACTGCCTGAGCACCCACACCATATGGCAACTGACTTCCCCAAAAGTTGGCATCGGCTTGAGCCCCTCGGGTATCCAGTAGAACACATGTAAACTCAGGGAAAGAGGTCCTGCGCCCTCCATCTCTGCACCACTGTACTCATGGGGTGAGGGTAGGATGGCAAGGAAGGGAACTGGATTTGTTCAAAGGATGGGAGAGGATTAACTTCTTCCAGAGTAAAGAGCAAGATCTAAGACCCAAAAAAAAAATACCACCTTATGGTCCTTAGAAGTAAGGGTTGAGAGCTTCATCTCACATATCTGTCATGTTGTCAGAAAGGGCCAGTTTTTTTGGGGGAAAAGACATTATTCTGGGAAAGGTAGAAATTCAAAGAGAGGAAGATCCTCAAGGATTTGCACATTGATGATAAAGATGGGCTCTTGCATGTCAGAGACTGTGATAGGCACAGGACAGGCAAGGTTCAGATCTGTTGTCACAGGATTGCTGTGAGCTGTAGTTGACTCAAAGGCACCTGGTAACAACAACAATAGACTACAAAAGCCAAAACATCTGACTTTAATTTGTGAATTTCTCATCTAATAAAAAGGGGCAGAAACTCATTTCCCCAGAAGCCTGCCTTTCGGTTTCAGTTTCTCCTTTCTGGCCTCCTTCTTGAACATTCCTGTGGGGAAGAGGGGTAGGAGAAGGGGCATCTCTGCTTGTGTCCCCTGACTGACCCCCTATTCAAAGCCAGGTTCCTGCTATTCTAGGTCTGTACTTCAGGACGCCTCCTGCCCCTCCCCCCAATCCTCACACACAAGGACAGGGGTTCTGTTTTTCCAGGGGACTGCTGGCTACTGGCTGCCATCGGCTCCCTCACCGTCAACCCCCAGCTGCTGAGCCGTGTGGTGCCCAAGTCACAGAGCTTCAAGAAAAATTACGCCGGCATCTTTCATTTTCAGGTGAAGCTGGAGCTGCTTTGTGGGGGTGTATGAGAGAGAAAGATGTTTACAGTTTTTCATAACTCTGAAAACTAGCATTTGTTGGGAGTTATCATAATTCTCAAGGAATGTCTATTCCCTAAGAAATGATGCAAACTGATTTTATTAAAGTTTAAAAAGATTTTTTACATTTATCAAAGTTCATAGAGTTCATAGAGTTTTCAGAGACATGTTTAGGAAGTAGATGCCACTACTGCTTCCAAACCTGTCTTAAACTGGAAGCTCCACCAACCACTGTCCACTATGGGTAACCATTATGGCATTTGACACCCCAATGGCACAAGGTTCAGCATCACAACAACCCCAGGTTACCTCAGTACAGCATATTGACAGAAGAGTGCTGTACCACTTAGAAAAAATGTTCCTCCAAAATAAAATAACAAGCAACTTTAAATACAAAGGCCCTCTCCAAGGTCTTGTTGACTCTAATCAAGAGGTTTAATTAAAAAAAAAAAAAAACCCCAATATAGTATAGTGTTGTTGTTGTTATATGCTGTTGAGTTGTCTGTGATGGACAGCTATGTAGAGCAGCTTTGAACCCTTCCTTGTCCTGAGTCAATCTCACTAATTACAACACACCTACCTCCACTGCCCCAGTTACTGTATCAATCCATCTCATCCCGGGTCTTCTTCTCCTGCCCTGTCCGTCCACCCACCCTTCCAAGCATGATGTCCTTCTCCAAGGACAGGTCTCTCCTGGCCACGTGCCCAAAGTATGTGAGGCAGAGCTGCTTCACGGAAAAAAGCGACAATCTCCTCCCATGCAATTTACTGCCTCTGAAAACCTGCTGGAGGGTCAGCTACAAGTCGATTCTGACTCGATGGTACCTAACAACATAAATGTATACACACACGTGCACCCTGGTGGCCTAGCCCGTTAGCAAGGGGTTGCCCTGCTAATCTAAAGACCTCGCCTATTTGGTGGTTCAAATCCACCAGCAGATGGACAATTCGATGGCGATGAGTGAGTATGTATATATTGATCTGCTCTTTAAATTTAGCAACTTGTGAACAAATGTCCTAGGAGGAAGTATTCCTAAACCATGAATTATAAGAGTTTTAAGATGTGAGGTAAGAGCTTTAAGACTTCAGCAATCCCAAAACCCAGCTGTCTTTCTCTAGAGAGGTGCCAAAGGTCAAAAGATGGGCGAGGTCACCCGAGAGACTGTCAGTCACTACCTGCTAAGGTCTTTTGGAGCCACGTGGTGTTGGGGGTGGGGGTCGCGGTATTGCTGACTTTGATACATAATCCTGATGTGACCACCAGGGGGCACTCTGGTGACAGGGTTCCAGTGTGAGGCGTGCTTGAGGACAAGGGGGTGGGGGTAGAAGTTGTTGTATGTGCGTGTATGTATGTGTATATGGGAGGGTGGGGGTGGATAATGTGAGAAGGACAGAAGGACTCAAGGAAAAAGATGCCCAGTGTCTGAAATCCACCTTGCTGCCCACAGATCTGGCAGTTCGGGCAGTGGTTAGATGTGGTGGTGGATGACCGGCTGCCCACAAAAAATCACAAGCTGGTGTTCCTGCACTCAGCCCAGACCTCCGAGTTCTGGAGTGCCCTGCTGGAGAAGGCATATGCCAAGTGAGTGCCCAGACCAAAGTGGGAGAACTTGCCTCCAAGCTATCCCCAGCAACTGGCAGTCACAGGGGTAACTGGAATCAGAGGACACAGGCAGGTGGGGACAGGCCATCCCTCTGTCCCTCTGACATCCTCATTCACACCTCCACCCTAGAGCCTTCACTGAACCCTTTCTGTGTCCACAGGCTGCATGGATCCTACGAAGCCCTGTCAGGGGGCAGCACAGTGGAAGGCTTTGAGGACTTCACCGGGGGTGTGATCCAGAGCTTCCATCTCCGGAATCCCCCTCCCAACATTCTACAGATCATCAGGAAAGCCCTGGACCGGTCCTCTCTTATGGGCTGCTCCATTGAAGTAAGTCGTCTTGTTGTGTGCCATACAGTAGGAACCAACCCATACCTGGCCCTTTGATGGGTTTTCAGAAGCTGTTAATCGCACTGGAGGAGATTGTTCATCTTTCTCCCATGGAACAGCTGGTGGCCTCAAACCATGTGCCTCTCTGGGATTGTAGCACAGCTTCTTGCCACTAAGCCACCAGAGCTCCCTAAGTCAAGCCCTAGATCCCTCAAAGCCAAGCTTGGTCCAGCTTTGCACCTGCTGCTGCTTTTTGCCTAGAGGACCCTTTCCCCAGATGTCACATTGCCGTTCAAATGACTCACAGCCATAGGGTTGAGTCCATGACACCCCATCGGGTTTTCCAGGTAAAACGGAAGACTGACTGTCCCTCCTACTCGCACAGAGCTGCTGCTAGTTTCAAGCCACCAGAGACACACAGTCTTTGGGTTAATGACACGATCCACTCCATGCTAGGCAACCAGAGCTCCTTGAGTCTGAGAGCTGCTTATCTTCCACATGTCGGTTCAAAGGCGCCTTCCTCAAACCAGCCTTCCCTGTCTCTCCATCTAAGTTGGCTGTTCTACCCTGTTTACTCTCTCCCTTGTTCTGATTTTCTCCCCAGCTCTTATCACGACCTGAAATTCTCCTGTTTACCTCGGTGTTTATACCCTAGTCCATCTTCTCCTTTCCATTTCCCACACCATGAGGGCACATTTGCCAAATCCTGGAACACCTAGCACACCACAGGTTCTCAACAAAAATTGTGTTCAAATAAGTGAATGACCCAGAAATTGTTCACAGAGCCATTAATCCCAGAGAAAAGGAGGCGTGTACATACAAAAGCCGGTACACAAATGTTTACAGCCACTTTAACCATGAGATACAAATATTGACAACCCAGATATCCTTTAATGGGTAAATGGTTAACCAGGGAATACTACTCAGAGATAAAAAGGAACACACAGGACAAGTTACTTTAAAACAGAGATGAGAATGTCAGGGGGCAAGGAGTGATGAGTATATTCAAACACTGTGAACCACATAACCATTGTTACTGAACAATTTGTACAGATATTAGTGACTTAAAACATAAACACAACACAACACAAGACAGTATTATTTAGAAGAACATTAGCATTTTGCAATATGTGAGGATTACCTGAAAGGAAAATTTCAGCATGCACAAATGGAGTTCAGGTTGGGACACAGCCACATTTACCTGATGGCAGAGCCAAGTGGGGACACTAGGCCTCGAGGACTGCAGAGCTAAAAATGCATCCTATGAAACAGAGGATGACGCTCCATGAGCTGTGTTGACCCAGGGGCTGCAACAAGGGGCTCAAGCAGAGCCGTGACAGTGAGAATGGTGCAGGATTGGCCATGTTTCGTTCTATTCTCTGACTTTAAGCCAACTCAGCTGCACGTTAAAACAAGGCCCTTGCTGGAGACAGTTAGCTGAGTCCAGACTTGAAGCAGCAAGACCCTCTCCACAAGTGCTGAATAGATTCCTCTCCCAGACTTGGAGGAGAGAACAGTTGCACTCTGATAGCATCTGACCTTGATCCTACATTTGGCACTTTATTTCCTCATGAACGGAGGCAACAAAACCCGCCAATGAATGAATCAGGGGCATTTTCCTATCACATTACTTTGTCAAGGTGCCTCAAAGAAGAGTCTTCGTGGATCTCTGTGGCGAACAGCTGTCAACACTCAGACCCGCCATTCATTCTAATTAATGTGTTAATAAAGAAATGCACCAGATGCTCTGCTGGAGAAGGAGGGACAATCTCCTGTACCAATCAGATCTGATTTGACAGTACACATACACAAAATAATAATAAAATTTAGGAAAAAAAATAAAGAAATGCATCTAAAAATATAAAAGGAACAAACTATTGATCTATACACAGAAACACTCAAAGGGTTATTGTTGTTATTATGGGCCCTTGTGACTCATAGTGACCCTATGTACAACACCTCTGAGCCCTGCTCTATCTTGAGCCAACTTCATTGTCTCTGACACACCTGCCACCATTATCCCAGTCACTGAGTTAATCCATCTCATCCAGGCTCTGGCGGTGGCCCTCCATCTTTCCAAGCATGATGTCCTGCTCGAGGGACTGGTCCCTTCTGGCCGTGGGCCCAGAGTATGTGAGATGGAGCTTTAATAATAAAAGGAATTAGTACTGAATGAAATACAAACAAAAAGCGAATCCCAAAAGTTTATATACCACGTGATTCCACTTATATGATGCACTTGGAGTGACAGGGAGCTCTGTTGGCGTGCTCCATAGGGGGCTGCAGTGCTAACCCAAAGGCCACCCTTCTCTGACAGTTCAAGTCCATCAGCAGCTCCTTGAAGGGAAAACATGGGCAATCTCCTCCCAGTCAGAAACTCACTGGAGTGTCAGCTTTGAGTCACTTCCTACTTTATGGCAATGAGGGGTTTTCTGAGTGAAATAAATTACAAAATAATGGAGATGGAGAGCAGAGTCATGCTAAGGGTGGAGAGGGAGGAAAGAGGATATGATAATAAAAGAACAATCCAAGGAATGCTTACAAAAAACACCATCTCACTGCCATCAAGTCAGCTCCTACTCATACTGTCTCTCCATCAGGTTCCCAAGGGTGTAAATCATCATGGGAGGAGACTGCTCCTCTTTCTCCTGCAGACCTACCGGTGGATTCAAAATGCTGGAGGTGCACAGCCTTTGAGGCAGCAGCCCAGCTCACCACCCACCATGCCACCATAGAGCCTTTCAAGAAATGGTACTTAGGTCCTGGAAATGTTCTAGACCTTGACTGTGGTGGCAGACATACAGACTCAAGCGTGTGACAACACTACAGACAGCACTCCCAAGTGACACTGGGAAGGGAGATGGGACTAGGTTGTTGGAATGTGTTGTCATCTCGCTGTGTTGTGCTGTATGCTTTTGTTGCAAGCACCTATCCCTTGGGGAAAATGGAACAAAGGATACAACTACTCTCTTACAATTGCATGCAAATCTGCAATTATTTAAAAAATGTAAAAAAAAGTGTCAAGTTTAAAGTTTTTAAGGAGCCTGGAACATTGTCACCTGTGTTTAAGGGGTGCCACCCTCCTCTGAGAGCTCCTGAGCCCGTTCCCCTCCTCCCTTTTGCAGCTCAGCGGCAGCCAAGAGCTGGAATCACTGACACACAAGAATCTGGTTCGAGGACACGCATACTCAGTGACTGGCCTTCAGGATGTGAGTCCTCACAGTTGCCTCCGCCCAGGGCGCCTAAGAAGGAAGAGCGGCCCCTTCGGATCCTCCCCCGTGACCACTGTCCCCTCATGCACCAGGTCCTCCACCAAGGCAAGCTGAAAACACTGATTCGGCTCAGGAACCCCTGGGGTGAAACTGAGTGGACAGGAGCCTGGAGTGACAAGTAGGTGGACCCATCCCAGGTCTCATAGGCAGGGGTGGGCAGAGGACGAAGTAAGCATCAAGAAACAAAGTGATGTTGCCAGGCAACCCACTGATGTCCTGTCTGGGAGGATAAGCTGGCCACCAGGCAAGTCCTTCCGGTCAAGCACAGGACCCCACACACCCCCCAAATTGGCAGGCAGTATTGGGTAAGGGAAGTCCTTAGGGAACAAAGAGCTTCCTCCTGACCCCAGCCCCTCTCCCCTTACACCTAACCTCTGCCTCAGCTCCACAGAATGGAAAGAGCTGCCCTCAGACGTCCAGAATCAGCTGTGGCACAAGAGTGAGGATGGGGAGTTCTGGTCAGTGCAGCTGGGGTAACCTCCTATCCTCCACTTCCTGTTCCTTCATTGCCCTGCCAACCTCCCACCTGTGCCTTGGAAGGGGAAGCTCCATGTGGGGGTCCCGGGGCACAAGAACCCACGCATATGCTCATGACAGGCATCACTCCCACTCCTTCCACCCCAGGATGTCATTCCAGGATTTCCTGGCCAACTACACTTTGCTTGACATCTGCAACCTGACGCCTGATGCGCTGTCCGGGAGCTGCAAGAAATATTGGCACACTACCTTCTACGAGGGGAGCTGGCGGAGGGGCAGCACGGCTGGCGGCTGCAGAGAATACCCCGGTGGGTGCAGGACCGGGGCACCAGGTCACAGGGGCGAGCGTCCACCAGGTCAGGGGCCGAGCCACACCTCCCATCCCAGAGGGAAAGGCAAGCATGCGAGCGGAGAAGCTGGTGTGCTTGTCCACAGACACGTTCTGGACCAACCCCCAGTTCAAGATCAGTCTCCTGGAACAGGACGACGAGGAAGACAACGAAGTGGTCTGCACCTGCCTGGTGGCTCTGATGCAGAAGAACTGGCGACAGAGGCGGCACTTTGGGGACTCGGAGATCATCGGTTTTGTCATCTTCTCGGTGGGCACCCCCGCTTCACTCTTGCTTACTCAACTGGTCCCACTCCTCTAAGACCCTTTCCCTCTGGGGCCACTGCGGGTGGAAGGGGGCCTCGCTCCAGCATGTTCAGATTCTTTGAGTAGCATTTTGTGCTTTGTGAGATACGGCCCACAGTTTCCTTTTCAGTGATTTCAAAATCAAAACCACTTTCGTGGTACTTCCTCTGTGCCCGACAGTTTTCCAAAGGCCATCAATGGAGAGGAAGAAGATTGGGTACCGGAGGAGTGAGGTCACTCAGCCACGCTCGCACCACACCCAGAGATCAGGAGCAGAGCCTGCATCCTGATTCCCAGACCAAAGGAGACTTCAGCCACTGCCACTTAGGGGCACTCCAGATGCCCCACCCACCTCACTGACCTCCAAGGATCTGGATAGCCATGTATTCATTCACTTTGATACCTGACAAAGAGTCCCTGAGTGATACATTTATGTCTTGTGGCTGTTAACTAAAAGGACAGAGGTTCGAGTCCCACTCAGAGACACCTCAAAAGAAAGGCCTGGAAATCCACTTCTAAAAGACCTGGGTGATTACTCAACTTTCAGTCAAACAGTAGACAAGTTCATAAGATGGACAATAACACCAGGAAGGAACACGTTCCTCAGAATAACTCATCAGACAAGAGCAAAAGGGCAGCATTATTTACCCAGGGACAGAGCTCAGAAGGCCAGGAAAGAGAGTCGAAGAAGGGAGAATGGAGTGGTAAACACAGGGACAGAATGAGAAAAGAGCTGTTACAATGATTTGCAATCAAGGGCACAAGGCATAATGTGTTTAACAGAAACCCAATTTGCTCTGTAAACTTTCACTTTACTCACAATAAAAATCTAACTGAAGGGTTTCAGTCCTTCCCTGACCCACATGGGGTCAGAACTAGTCAGTTGCTTTAAGTTCCCCTCCAGTCCACTCTCAGGGACTCTGGTGAGTAAAAGCATGCCCGAGCACATTCAGAGTCCCCCAGGTTAAGACCTTTCCAGACAGAGTAGTCCCCAAGGTTAAACAAGGTCAGGAAAGTAGTGTTCTCTAACCTCCAGCTCAAACTTCTGGGGTACACTCAGCGTGCTAATGGTTCTGATCATTCTCGTGGGGGTGGCTGAGTGCCATTGAGTCAGAACTGACCGGCAGATGACCCTCTAGTGGGTTTTCAGAGGCAGTAATAGCACCGGAAGAGATTGCCCATTCTTCTCGCTCAGAGAAGTTGGTGGATTTGAACCACGTGCCTTTTAGATAGTAGCACAGTTTCTTACCACTAGGCCACTAGAGCTCCCAGTAGTAGAGAAATCTATTTAACTTCATTTCTTCGTCTTCTTGTAAGCTAATTTGTCCTCAATGTGGCCCTCTTCTAATAATCAGCTATTAGCTTCCTGCAAGAGAATTCTGGTGGTGTAGTCCACTTGTATGCTAATTCAAACGCTGTGCCTCTCTGGCATTTGACATCTACCACGCTGCTCTGAGAGAGAAATGGGCATTCTCTTCCCATGCGATTTACAACCCTGGAAAATCCAATGGAGGGTCAGCTACGAGTCGGTTCCCACAGGATATAAGTGTTCTGTTGTTGCTGTGTACCACAGTCAGAACTGACCCATGTGAGTTTTCAGAGGCAGTTAATCACATAGGAGAAGATTGTCCATCCTTCTCCCATGGAGCAGCTGGTGGCCTAGTACCGTGTGCCTTCAGGATTTCAGCGCAGCTTCTTGTTACTAGGCCACCAGAGCTTCTAAGTGTTCTGAGGAAAAATATTTTCCAAACTGCTCGCCTACATTTTACATCCCGGTCTGTGCCCTTTTTAAGCAATGTGAATCTGGGCGCGTCACCTCACTTCTTTAGGATGGCATGATAAAAATCTGCCTTAGCAAACTTTGTGTAAACTGTACTGCACTTCCCAAAGCTGAGGGAGTCCTAATGCCAGGTTCATTTAGCTGACAGAGCCCCCTCCCCCACCTGCAGCAGCTCTGTACCAATAAATCCTCTGTGCACGTAAACACATACACACACCCCTCACGCCCCACTTGGCTTCTGCAGAACAAAGTCCCTTCACTCCTAGAGATCTGATCATCTTCTTTCTTCCTTTTCCAGGTCCCAAAGGAGGTATAGAAGGCACTGGGCTTGATCCAGGGCAGGCCCACCACTACCCCTGTCTACATGGGGTTAGACAAACAGTAGGAATTGTAGCCAAGGGCTCTGGGGACAGTCCCTTGGGTCCTGGATGGGGGCTGTACAAGGAACTTCCCATACGGGGGTAACCTGCCCCTTGGGCTTGTGTCTAATCCAAGTCAGTTGGTATTGGTACCTACCCCTGCCCTCCCTGACTTTACCTTTGGAGACCCTCTCCCAGGGTCCCCCATGCCAACTTGTACCCACCTCCAGGGCATATATAGTTTCAGAATATCAAGAATGTCCACCTGAAGAGGGATTTCTTCCGAAAATATCAGGACCTTGGCTTCTCAGAAATCTACTCCCACGCACGGGAGGTGAGCAGCCAGCTCCGGCTGTCTCCAGGAGAGTATATCATCGTTCCTTCCACCTACCACCAGAACAAAGAAGCCGACTTCCTGCTTCGAGTCTTCACAGAGAAGCACAGCGAGTCCTGGTGAGGGGCCCACCACCCTGCTCCCAGGCCACCTGATGCCAAGCTCTGAAAGCAGCCGTCCTGCTCACCCCCCATTCTGTTCCTGTTTTACAACCAACGACACTGAGGCGTGAGGAGGGCCAGTCTCAATTAGAAGCAGAGTCCGAGATAGAAGCCAGGTCCCATGGAGCATGTGTCACATGCCTTCAGATAAAGGACAAGACCTTTCCCCGCCACCCCCCTGAAATCTCTGCCTCCCTGACCTTTGGCCTGGTGGCCTCTGAGCTGCCAATCACTTTCCCCCAGTGAACTGGACGAAAACAACTATGCGGAGCTCCTTCAAGAGGTGAAGGGACGCTGGAGGGCTGAGGGACCAGGGGGAAGTCTCTGGGGTGTGAAGAAATGGGGGGCCAGGCTCTTTGGCCCTGGTCTTGCTTCCCTGCCCCCCCCTTCCTTTCAGGAGAAGGTCTCTCCCCACGACCTAGACCCAGACATCATCCGTTTGTTCGAGACAGTGGCCGGAAGGGTGAGAGAGCTGTGGGGGCTGATGGAAGTGGGTGTGGGTGGGGCTGAGGGGCCAGAGTGAGGGTTACAGACCTGTCCTCCTCCCCAGGAAAGAGAGGTCAATGCATACAAGCTCCAGAAACTGCTCAACAAATTGGTCTCCAAATGTGAGCTGGCCACCTCAAAATTCATAATCTTTCTCCCATAGACAGTGACCATTTCAACCACTCTTTCTACTTACAAAATCCTGTCTCTCTCTACTCCTACCCTTCCTCATAGTCCAAGAAATCAAGATCACTAGCTTCAGCTTGTATACCTGTCGCTGTATGATCAACCTCCTGGATGTATCTTCCCACCAGTGGGTCTCCTGCCCTCCCCCTGACATTCCCCAGCCTGTCCTTGAGCTGGCCCACATTTCTGGCCAGCACCTTCTTGATATGGAGTCTAGGTTTTGGAGTAATTGGTGGAGCCTGTGACCATACAGGAAGCCCTAGTCTTACGCTCCTCCCCCACTCCCTGCCCCAGAATACCCTCTCTTCTACTCCACTGTTTACCTTGACTACCTCCCCAGAAAGATCGCTCTGGCAGACTGGGGCTTCTGGAGTTCCAGATCCTGTGGAAAACAGTCAGGAAGTGGACGGTAAAGGGCAAGGAATGGGCTGATTTATGGGGTGGGAGAGAAATGACCCTGACAGGAAGGGAGAGTAGTAAGGATGGTGCTGGAGTGGGAGCCTCGACTGCATACATGCGTGTGCCACACACACTGACATTTGTATACAGTCACACAGACGCATGCGTGCGTGCATGCTCAGTACCCAGTCAAAACATCTGATAACTAGTCTGGCTCCGGTGTCAACCAATCACAAAGGAAGCATACAGAGGCAGGACATCCGCCACATCCTTCCATCACTGGGGATGGGGAGATTCTCAGGAGGTGGGCTTGCATGGGGAGTGGCCAGGGAAGGGTGCCCTACTCCTGTCTTCAGCTGCAGTGTGGGCTGACTGCACTGACATATTCCGGTATTTTACCAACCACCGCTGTGCCATACACAAGACACTGTCCCCTCTCTGTGTCCCTCTAGGACATCTTCCGAGACTGTGACCAGGACCAGTCAGGCACCATGAACTCCTATGAGATGCGCTTAGCCATTGAGAAAGCAGGTGGCTAAAGGGTCAGGTGGGGGCTTTGGGGCCGGTAATGGCAGGAGAGCTGAATCCTTCTGGTCCCCACCTCTCCCTCTCTCTCTCTGTCCCAGGCATAAAACTGAGCAACAGGGTGCTGCAAGTGCTGGTGACCAGGTATGCGGACGAGAACATGATCATGAGCTTTGACAGCTTCATCAGCTGCATCCTCAAGCTGAAGGCCATGTTCTGTGAGTCAGGCCCTGAGGACCACTCCCCTCATGCCTCACCCAGGAGACCGCTTCCCTTTACAGAGCACAGCCCTTGTCCCCAGATGAGAACCAGCTTCAAGTGCAAGCTCCACTCACCACCACTTCTTGGCTGTGTGACTTGGGCAAGTCACGTTATCTCTCTGTGTCTCCATTCCATCCTCTGTAAAAAATGTGGATAGCGTTAGTACCGTCCTCACAGGACTGAAATGCAATTTAAAATAAGTGACTCCCTGGAAAGCATTTAGAACAAGATTTTAGAAGAGTTGTGATTGTTAATTCATTATCAGGTTGGAAGATTTCCCTGGGGAAGAGCAGGATCAGGTCTTCCCATGGCCTTTCCAACATTCTACCAAGCTGACAGCACATCTTCAGATCATTGGCTTAACCCCCAACCCTTTCTCTCTGTCTCGTCTCTAAAACAGCGTTCTTCCTAACCAAGGACCCCAGGAACACTGGATATATTAGTTTGAATATAAATCAGGTACCTAGAGGGCAGTGTGGGGAGGGGATCTTCCCTGTACCCCAATCTGATGACCCCTCTCACCCTCTGCATCCCTCAAGTCCTGCTCTACCTTCCTTCCTGTGCACAGACCTGCTCCTTCTCCCCCTACAGTGGCTGGAGATGACCATGTGGGGATAGAAGAGCTCGAAGAACATGGCTCGCCACTGCCCAGCAAGGTGGGGATAGAGTGGAGATGAGGTTCCTGCTAGCGAACCTCAGCTTTCCCCTCTCTCGTGATGCCAGGAGCGCAGGGGCAGTGACAGGGCCTCAGAGGCCATGTTAACGCCACCAGATCTACACACCCACTCACCCTCCCAGCCCAGAGAATTTGCCTAGCCCCCCATTCAGGCTCCTCATGGCTAGATTTACCACAATGTCTGCCTCTCTCTCTCCCTAAAATATATTTTTACTCAAGATTAAGTGACACTCTCCCAGCCTCCACTCTCTAGCTGGAGAGGCTGAAGATAGAGATGAGTTTGCGCCCATTTCACTTTCCCTACCATGATTTTTGTCCTGCCAACGCCTGGCTGCCACTCCTGGCACACCACCTCTCTTCCCTCCCTCACCTGTGGGCACAATAATAAACAGTGCATGCCACTGGCTCCTACATCTCTTGTTTCTGTGCCAGGAAAGGCAGGCAGGAGTTGAGAAGAATTCACTTCCTCAGCACAGCTGTGGGGATCTCTATGGAGGGGCAGTATCTTCTCACCTCCAGGAAACATTCAGAAACGTGGTTGTTACAAACACTAAAGTTAGTGTTATTATGCGCCCTTGACTCAAAGTCACTCACAGCCTTAGAACAACAGATCTGATCCTCTCGCTACTTGTACCAAGATGCTTGATCTCCAACATGCTGGAGCCCGTTGTTACAGTCGCTGTGGCAATACTTCTTGTTGAGGGTCTTCTCTTTCTCTTGACCCTCCCTCCACCTTTCCCAGCATGAGGTCTTTTTCCAAGGACTGGCCCTTCCTGACAACATGACCAAAGCATGTGAGACAAAGTTTCACCATCCTTGCCTCCAAGGAGTACCCTGGTTGTACTTCCCCTAAAACTGGCAGTCTATTCAATACTCTTATTCTTTGGACCACAGTCTAAAGACATTGATTCACCCTTCTGCCACCTTTATTCATTGTTCAACTGTGAGATGCTTTGGAAGTAATTGAAAATGCCATGGCTTGGCTCAGATGCACCTTAGTCTTTAAATGGACATCCTTGCTCTTTGGTATTATAGAGAAATTCTTTACAGCAGATTTGACAGATGTTATATGTCTTTTGATTTCTTGACTGCTGTTACCATGAGTATTGACTGGGGGATCACACTAAGGAGGGTTATGTGTAGTTATGAGTCACCCCAAAAAAAACATGATCTAGGGGGCTTCAACTCACAGTGACTATGGTCACAGTAGAACATGAGTTTTCTTGGCTGGCCTCACTTATCCAAAAGATCAGTAGCTCTAACCCACTCAGAGGCAAAGTAAGGGGAGAAATGTGGCAATTTACTTAGAAAACTCTCTGGAGCAATTCGACCGTCACAGCCGATGGCTCACGGTAGTCTCGACGTGTGGAAATGCACCACCTTCAGGAGCCATGTGTAGATAATGTGAAATCAAGTCCACCCTGACTCATGGTGACCTAATGTCTTTCACACACGGCAGGACTGAGGGCAGTGACTCAGAACACAGCTTTTTGTGGGTAATTTTTCAAAAGCAGATCACCAGACCTTTCCTCCAAAGCACACTGGAATGAACTCAAACCTCTACCTGGTTTGCAGAAATGGTCTGGTAACAATGTGCACTCCCGAGGAACTCCAGCAGACAAGAGCTGAAATTCCTGGGAATGCTGAGACAGAGAGGTAGAGACTGTGACAAGTGAATCCATTCCTGGACTTCATGACATATCATTATTATAATTATATAATATTAGTGTTGTTGTTATGTGCCATCGAGTTGCTTGCGACTCAGCGACCCTATGTACAACAGCCCTGAAACCTCCTCTATCCTGGGCCAATTTTACTGTCTCTGACACACCTACTGTCATTATCCCAGTTACTGTATCAATACATCTCATTGACGGCCGTCCTCTCTTTCTCTAAAAGATGCCCTTTCAAGCATGATGTCCCTCTCCGTGGACCAGTCACTCCTTGAAATATGCCCAAAATATGTCAGACGAAGCTTCAGAATCTTTACCTCCAAGGAGCACCATGGTTTCACCCTTTCAAGGATGAACCTTTTTGCTTTCCTGGCAATCCATGGTACATTCAGTACTCTTCTCCAGCACCACAGCTCAAAGGCATCAATTCTCTTTCTATCATGCTTAGTCATTCTTTAGCTCTCTGACACATAGAAGCAATTGCGAAGACTATGACCTGGATCAGGCACACCTTAGTCTCCAGACTGACGTCATCGCTCTTCAGTACTCTGGAGAGGTCCCTCACAGCTGACTTTCCCAATGCAATTCATCTCTTGGTTTCCTGGCTACTGGTACCAAGAGTGCTGATTGTTGAGCCAAGCAAACAAAAGGTATTAACAATCTCAATCTCTTCACCATCTATCATGATGCTGCCAATTGGTCCAGTGGTGAGAATCTTTGTTTTCTTGATGTTGAGCTTCAATCCATATTGGAGGCTGCAGTCCTTGATCTTCAGCAGCAAGTGCTTCAGGTCTTCAGTTTCCACAAGCAAGATTGTATCATCTGTATCATGCAGGCTGTTGATGAATCTTCCTCCAACCCTGATGCCAGATTTCTCCTCATAGAGTCCAGCTTCTTGGATGATTTGTTCTCTATATAGATTGAAAATGTGTGAAGACAGAATACATCCCCGGTGTACACCCTTCCCAATTTTGAACCATGCAATGTCTCCTTGCTCTGTTCTGATGACTGCCTCCTGGTTTCGCATAAGCACAATCAAAGGTTCTGGGATTCCCATTCTTCTCAGTCAGCCACAGTTTATTGTGATACAAACAGTCAAACGCCTTTGCATAGTCAATGAAACACTGATAGACATTCCTCTGGTACTCTGCTTTCAGCTAAAATCTATCTAACATTAGCTATAATATCTCTAGTACCACAACCTCTTCTAAACCCAGCCTGCACATCTGGCATTTCTCTCTTGATGTGCTGCTCCAGTCATTTTTGGATAATTTTCAGCGGAATCTTGCTTGTATATGGTATTAATGGTATTGTTCGATAATTTCCTCACTCTGTTGAGTCACCTTTCTTTGGAATGGGAACAAATATAAATCTCTTCCAGTCAATTGACCAGGTGGTTGTCCTCCAGATTAATAAGAATTATTATTATTGTTGTTTTTAGAGCGTGACTACTAAACCGTTGCTCTTGTGAAAAGAAGTCCCCAGGAGAGGTCAGGGTCTGCCCTGGTGTTCCTGCTCCACCTTGACCTCCCTCTGCTAGCCACTGCTCTAGTGACAAGGCTGAGAATACCCGGAGAAGCCCCTCAACTATATCCCACCATCTCTCCATAGTTACCCCCTCTGCTCCCACCCTGACTCCTCCCTCACAGGATCTGGGGCCAGCAGAGCTTCTAAGCCTCAGGGATAGCCCACAACTTCCTTATATCAGGGGACTGTCATCCCCAAATGAATCTAAATCTTTCCCACCTCTGCATAGGCTTTCAGTCTCCTAGGGCATCTGGTTTCAAGTTTGCTCCTGCAGAAGTAACCCACTCGCTTCTCCCTTCTGTTTGCGCTAAACCCACGCTTGGTAAACTGGCTAGGAAGGGGAGGTGGGGGCAGAGATTCCCTTTCCTCCATGTGGGAGCTTCCCCCTGCCTGCTCTATGACTTCACAGACTAAACAATCAGCCTAAATATAAATAAAGCATCCTCTCCCTCCATTACCTTCCCCCAGGGACTCCTGAGGAAGCACTTCCTGTCTGGCTCTCCTCTTCTCCCTTCCTCTGAGAAATAAGTTCACATTGCCTTAAGGAGCCTCTTGAAAAGAGCAATTCCTTACAAGTCAACAATAAAAAGCAAGCAATCCAATTTAAAAAATGGACAATAGACTTTTTATCAAAGCAGATATACAAATAAGCTCATGAAATTATGTTCAAGTTATTGTTGTTGTTGTTAGATGCCATTAGGAGTCAATTTTAACTCATAAAGACCCTACATACAACAAAATACAGTACCACCTTGTCCTGTGCCATCCACACAGTCATTGCCATGTCGAGCCCTCAGTGACAGTCACTGTTTTAGTCCATCTAGTTGAGAGTTTTCCTTGTTTTCCCCAATCCTTTCTCTTACTAGACACTAGATCCTTCCTTCTGCAGTGACTGTGAGGCAGACAAGGGCCCAAGAAGACACAAGCTAACCACAAACAGGAAGCCTGTTTAGCAGACTCGACCCCCAGGAGCAGGCAAACAGCTCTAACCAGATAAGGGAGATCTAAGTTCAGCAATAAATAACAGAAAAACCAGTCCAGCAGCTGGGAGTTGGCTGTAACCAAATGAGGGAATTTTAACTAACCTATTTCAACGGCTAGGAGAACAATCAGGTTCATCATGGAAAGGGTAAAACCAGAATGCTCCTTGGAGGCAAGGATTATGAACCTCCGTCTGACATGCTTTGGGCGTGTACCAAGGAGAGACCAGTCCTTGAAAAGGGACATTGTGCTTGGAAGAGTGGAGGGACAGCACAAGAGAGGAAGACCCTGGATGAGATGGACTGACTCAGTGACTGGGGTAATGGGAGTAGGTGTGTCAGTGACAAGCTTGGCTCAGGATAGAGCAGGGTTCAGAGCTGTTGTACATAGGGTCGCTATGAGTCACAAGAGACTTGACAGCACATAACAACAACATGACCTTTCTTCCTGGGTACCAAACTGACTTAAAGTCCCTCTGCCAAAAAGATTTAATTAACCAATCATCATGTATGTTAAAACTAGCCTATAGAAAAGAGATCCCAACCACTACTTGTAAGCCTATATAAAAGAGAACATTTTGTGTTCAGGAAGCCTGACCTTTGAAAGACTGGGGTCTCTGTCAACGTTCCCTGTGAAAAAATAAAGTCCCTTGCTTCACCAAAAGAGCTTGTAGTGCAGTTCAGTTCCTTCGCCTAGAATTGCTGGACAGGAAGTCGAATTCCTGCAACAACTGGTCCTCACGGATAACATGGTCCAGGCAC